GACTCCAGTTGTGGCCATGCTTCAATATCTGCTATTATTTGCCGTCCCAGCGAACCAGATATGATCATAAATACCTTTTCATTTTTAATGGCACTGAGAAAATCAATGCATTCTTGAGCATCTTTAAATGTTTCGATGCTTGCTATAACACGTCGCAGACGTCGAAACGATTTCTTGAAATCGTCATTGGATTCATCCAATTTGGCATCAAGCCATAGAAGCCGGAAATTTTGAAGCTCTCGACGCCTAGGTCGAGGCAGCACAGCAGCAGCACGATTGTTCGCGTTGGTAATAGTGGTGGTGCTAGGCATCGCTGCTGCACCACTGATAACAGTTGTTGTCGACTTTTGTTTGCTCATTGTAATCGAACGAATGAATATAATCTGTGAAACGAAGTCCCCTATATTTATAATTGTTAAATTTTTTGTTGGTTAACATCATTCCTTTTCTGACTTGTGGCTACAGACTTCAAGAACCTCTACTATCTGGTTCATTTTTGTTTCAAGAGTGTTACTGACAAAATACATCGAACCATAAATAAAGAAGAATGGCTAAGGAAACAAATAGTCGCTGAGGACGGACGACATCACTAGTCCGAAATATCGAAAATACCTGTCTTAACTAGTTATCCTGACATGAAAACTCCTGCAGCTACGTCTGAATTAGTCCAGAATGTCCTCAAACTTCGACATGTCTAACCCGTTTCTCTATCTAATCAATCCAGATTAGTCGGTAGACCAGAAAAAGAGTATTTCTAAAAGTAAAAATTGTGCCTTTCATTACTGGTACTCGCGTTGAAATTAATGCATAGAAACAGTTACTCTGTTTAATATGTTTTACAATAAGATTGTTTTATACATACAAGATTCTGCAACCAAGACAATCGATTGCATGTATCATCAAGCGAAGTTCTCGTAAAACTACTTTATAAACATAAAAATAACACATGTTTATGTACCGTCATTTTTTTTTGTGTGTAGCTACTCTTTACTTTTCACTTTAATTTTCTTACTAGTCTAATAATGTTAGAAACTAAATACACTTACGTGCTATGTAATGTTGGAGTGTAGCAAATTTTGTTTTGTGTGCTTGCAGTCGATTTTATTCTGTATTTATCATTGGCAAAATTACTTGGTTTTTTCCCACAAACGTATATTTACATGAATCAATGAAGCATGACTTTTTCATCATGTAAACGACTTTTTCGACCATGTGTTCGTCATAAAATACGTTTCGTTTTTCATATATTCTACTTCTTCCTTTTTTACCTTACCTTTGCGTTTCGTGTTGTTGCAATGATAAAAAGTACACTGATGCTTGTATAAGCGTAAATTTGAGTTATGATGATTCATTAGACTTTGAACTTTATTCTAATCTCTATATAAATATTTTCTATCGTAAAATTTTTTTTGAAATTGATAATTATAGAAGTAGTGTTGAAAGCTTCAAAATAAATAAATGAAAAATTTTATATTTTTTATTTTATCGTTCGATGTATGAAAAACTCTATTTATCACTCAAACTTCGTTAGATGCATCCGAAGAAAGTATGGCGAATGTGCTTTAAGAAGACTCAGGCATTTTGAGAAGTGGGTGTGAGTGTTTGTATTGCTTATCCCTACACATCCCGATCCTCAATTATTTGGTTTAAATATCTAAGAACTTCAATCATAATCAAGCAATAATCAACAATCAGTAAATAGAAGTAAAAAATATTGATACAAATGAATAACCTCTTTCAATCAGTATTCAACAAATAATGAATGATTTTAATTTCAATGTAAATCTTTTTTTAGTGTGTTGATATGGTATGTTATATTTTTTTACAACATAATGATCATAATGTTGTATCAAGTTCATTGGAAACACATGAAATTATACTTAAATATTCAAATTTATTTGATTTTGATCAATTATTAATTTCAACCCCAATTGGATCTATAGAAGAAATTCGTGTCAGTGAAGCCTTAAAAACAGGTAAATATTGAGAAAAAAAAACAAGAATTTTTTTCATGTTTTTTTTTCTAAAACAATAGCTTATTCAACATATCAACGTTGATTTATTGAAATGAATGATGAATTCGATTCAACATCAATGATTAATAATGAAAAACGAGCATCAGCTGCTAAACTTGTTCATCAATTATATTTTTTTTCCGATTAGATATATACAAAATATGGATGGTATGATAAAAAGTGATGATGAATCATGTATTAGTGTTAAAAGTGCTATACCAATATGTCTATCGTATTTATAAACAATTTGATCCATTTGTTTATCTTACTAAAAGTATGTTTAATTCTTGTTTGACTTTTTTTTATAATCCAAAATTATTTCTAATATCGTAACAGTAGGAGGGCTTAGGTGAAGGGGATTATGGCAGAGTTTAGTTGACGTGGCTTCAATTGGTTAAAGTCTCAAAGTTTTAGTGAAAGTTATCTGATAGATATGACAATTTCACTATTAAATTGTTGAAACATATATATATATTGGAATCTGAAAATTCAAGAATGGAGATTTCTCGATATTGATTCATCAGCTCTAGCCCTATTCCTATTTTTAATTTTTTTGGAATCAACAAAAGACTAGAACATTATCAGACTCGAAAAGATATCAAGTAGAACACTTTATTAAAGCTCAAAGCCTGCATTTATACATCAGAGATTGAAATTATACAATCACACAATTACCTCAAAAAATAGTTCTAAGCCGAAGTTCGAGATATGAAATCAATAGTATCCTCTAAGAAGTTTTTCATTAGTCTTTGAAGATTTCTGATTAAATAAAAATTTTGTAACTGATATGAAATTTCCTAATGAGAAAAATGAAATTCTCATCTCATCTCTATATGACTTGAAATACATTAAAATTTATCGAATATCAAGGTCTCTTTTTTTTCTTTTCTTTAAGATATTACATATCTTTTATCTTTATGTGAACACGGTAATCTACATGTACGTGGTGCATGTGCAAATTTTCTTGCTACATTAATTCCAACAACAAATCATCTTTTAACACTATCATCATTATCAAATTCTTTTATTAATCAATGTTCACTTGTATCAACTGATTCACAAGACAGTTCAAGGTTATATGTCTTAATGATAATAATGCACGTGTTATACATGTTTCACTAAATGCTTTACGAACATTATTACCTTTTTTTATTAATTAATAGTCATGCATTTACAATCATAGGAATTAAATTATTAGAAGATTCTATTCAACATATTACAAGTTCCTGTATTCTTGCTCAAGTAGATAAAAGAAATTTATGATTATAATAATTATTTTTGGATGTATATAAAATAGGTTAGTCTAGCTCAACTTATAGATGATATTGATTTTCGAATATTAACTTATCTTGAACAACAACAAAAACAATTAAAACAATATATCCTGATATACGTGTTCGTCAAGCAACTGCTTCGACTGTTGCTAAGTATGTATTTTGTAGAGATAATAACTGCGTAGCTTTTTTCGAATTTGAATGAATAAGTCGATTTTATTGCATTAAGTTAGTTATTAGCTACTTTTTTGATTTTAAGGTTTTGTTGATCACAATTCATTTTTACCATGTCAATGGATATATAAAATTCATCATTTATTACACGTTTAAGCATCAACTCGAATACAAATTGTTTGTTATTTTTGTCTTTTATATGGGTTGGATGTTTAGAAGATATTTATGTTCTTTTAAATGTTTTAAGACCAACAACCATTCGACCAATTTTTTCATAATCAATATGATGAACTTCGTTTATTTATAATTTTTTTTTTTGAACATCCCTTTATATTACATGATCTTAATAATTTAATCTTTTCAAGTAAAGCGAAAAAAAAGATATTTATTATGTTTTTTTTTTTTGAATTCTTTCGTTTTATTTGAAGATTTATCAAATCTCAACAAATGAAAAAATGTTTTGAAAGTAGCACAAATAATTCAAGTAATTCGAAAATTGAACTATTTTATTATAGTTCTCGAACTATTGCAAAGATATGCACAATCATCATTCTTTTGAACAGAATATAGTTGATATTTCAGTTTTCACAGAAGAAAGGAGTTTCAAAGTGTTAGATTTGAAGAATATATGTAATCATGTTTCGTCTGAACGAATTCATTTGTTTTTCTTTTTAAAGAGAATAATAAAGATTCATCAACAACATCAAACACAGACAAAGTTAAAAAAGTTAATCATACACAACTATGTACTTTTGGAAATTATTCGAATTAATATGTTCATCATATCAAATACATAAAAGTTTATTAAACTCATCAGAAATGATTATTATTGTCTATGAAATCAGTTCTAAGTCTTATTTCTACACAAGATTTATCAAAAAAATTTGGAAGAAACACTTAATTATTTTAAATCAACATTCAATGTACACAAAAGGTAACTTCTTTTAAATAGTAAATATTTATTGTAAAGAAAATTTCAATTATTAATCTTCTTTATTCATTGTTTAAGCTAAAACCTTTAGGATGTTGTATTGTGTCTGAAACTTGTCTATGGATAAAACTTTAGATGGAAATATTATAATGAGGGTTTCTGAAAGGGTCTTTCCTAGAGAAGGAAAATTTCAATATAAGAATGTCATAGTAATAGAAAAACTGATTTTACAAATATCGATGATCTTAACGAGATTAGTTTTGTTGTGAAAGTGTCAGATCTTTTGATTCGGTTCTATCTTGAAATTCGAATATTAAATCATCTAGTTTACGTCAGTGATCTGCAAGACACGCTATCAATTCGAAATTTGAAAATCATTTTTTTCTGTTAACACAACATTCATTTAAAAATATTCTTTTAATTTAGTTTTTATTAAATCTTCAAATATTTCTTCACAAGTATCATTAAATAATTCTTTAACTTATATTCATACAATAAGTATTCGACAATCGATAATTTATTTTATTTGGTTCATGTTATGCATCAAGTATAAATAGTGCAATACGAGAGTAAAATAAACAAAAAAAATGAATTTGATCTATTCTGTTGTTTTTGTTTTCTATTTTAGTTTTTATTGAACTAAAAAATTAGTCTTAAAAAATATATTAATATACAAATGAAAGTGATTTTCAAGCTGCTATAGTCGATTTACTTGTTCAATTACTTTTAATTCGTGTTAATTATAGTTAATTAGAAGCTGATGAAATTCGTTGCATTTCTAATCGTTTCGTTTATTTTTAAATAGCATTTTACTTATTGTATTGCTGAATTTCTTGTTATGTTATCCCATGATACACTTCATTCAAAACGAGTTATTAAAATACAAGATTTAATAAAACATTATGATTCATTATTAGCAAGTGGACATGAACCTGAAACACATAGTAGAAAGCAAAAGAAAACATTTTCGAGAAAAAGAAATTATCGTTAAAATTCTTTATTTAGCTTTGGCAGCATTAGAACCAGTTTTATATGATTTTTTTTCTTGTTCGAGTTATGCGAATAATTAAAATTCCTAAAACGTTTTATTAAATGAGAGAGTGTGAGTGTGGGTGTGTAGATGTCATTTTTCTCCTCGATTGAACCCACACCCACACTTCAACGAATTGATGATCTGAAAATAATTATCTTGTTGTTATGTATTTGAGTTTGAAGGAAAACTAGACGTCTTAATTATTATAAATAAAAGTATCTTTTCATGTCATGTGTAAGTACTGAAAAAATAATAATAGAATTTATATTGTTATAGGCTTTACGATTGTTCACAGTTATTGTTAATAGTGTTCAAATTGAAGATGATAAATGGGAACGTCTTTCACGATAAATTGTCGATGTACTTCTTGTTCATTTACAATCACATGTTACTATTGGTTTATCTCAGGTTATTTTTTTTGTTCAAATAGGATCAATCACTTTTGGATATTTATTCCACACAATTAACACTATTTGATGTTGTCTCATCAGTTGCATTACGATCAATTGATCCATTTGTTATTGCTTTTCGAGCATTAGTAAATAGAAATGTTCGTTGTTTTTATTTATAAAATTTTCCTGTTGTTCAAAATTTCTTTTAGAATGTCAATTATCAATCTACAAATCGATAATTAATCAATATAAATATAATACTTCGATATCTTGTACAAAATTTAACTGAAGATGCTATATTAACACGATAGAATGATGTTTTATTATCAGTTAATGGAACACGAGATGAAACTTTTAGTGCGTAAGTATTCGAAATGATTTTATTTATAATTTAAAAACTATTATTCTCGTTTTTGTTTTCAGAGCTCTTCTTCGTGTCTTACATGACATAATATTATGAATTTTAACTAATACTCGACAATTATGTGGTCAAATCAATATGACATTAGTTTCTCTTGTATCCGATTATCTTTATGTACATATCACCCATTAATTTGATGATAAAACTTTCCTGCAATTCATTAATTACTAATGAGCTAGCGAAATAAATTTGACTTTAAAATTCCTATGCTTATATAAGATCTATAATTTTATTTTGGCTAAACAATTTCGAACAATTGTAAATGGTTTTCATCAATTATGAATTCATGATGAAACTGTACATCATCTTGATACATTTTCATATTTAACTATTTTAAATGAATGTTTTAAATTATAATGATCATCATTTTATATCTCATTATTATTACAATGGACACATATTCTGAATATACTTGATTATATACAAGAAGCATGGTGGTCACCAATATTAACACCATCATCATTAATAACACATTTATCTATAAGTAGTCAATTACAATCTTATTGTGATTTAATATATCATCATGAGTTATATGTTGAACATTTTATATCAATAACAACACATTATCAATTATTATTATTATTTTTTATTTGATCTTATACATCATACATCAGTTGCAAGTCATTAATTTTTTTTGTGAAGGAATACATTTAGATGAAAGTGGTCTTCTATTAGTTTTATTTGTTGAACAATTCCTTCCATTACCATTAAATAAACAATTATGACCTAAATATATACCATAAATTTTATAAATATTATCAATAACAATATCAAACGATATTATTAAAGGAGATTTTAATAATCTTAATTGTCCTATGGATATAACAAGAAAAATTTATGAACAAATGCTTAAAAATGTAACTTATAAAAACTGATTACCATTTAGGATGTCACCGGTATATTTTAGTTTAATTTATCGAAATAAATAAATATATATGTATAATAAAAATTTTAATCCAATTAAAAGAAATTTTTGTTTTTTACTTTGACATTGTTAATGTGCTAGTAATAGATGAGACTTTTGAATAATTCAAAATTTCGAAAAATATTTTGAAATAGAAAATATGCAGAATTTCAGGTAATACAAATCGTAAAGGAAAGCATTTAAGCTACATTAGTACAATGACCGAATAATTTCTCTCGAATCTTATTGATCAAATTCTCAGTCGTGCTATTTGTACTATTACAATTAAAGAAAACGACGTCTTTCTAATATTATATTTCGAAATAAATTGCATTCGAAAATTTCGATAAACTTTCTATAAGTTTGAACTCTGAAAACGTATTGAATTTTTTCCACAGCATTAAATTTTTAGGATGATTCTTATAGTAAATGAAAATTGATTTGAGAAAATAAGAAACAATATAAATCTGTTCTTTGTTTGTTTTCCTAGGATTTTGTATAGTTATATCAAATGAAACAAATTAAAATGACATTGAAACAACACCTAATACAATTTATGAAAAAAGTCTTTTATCATGCTTCTAATAATCAACCATATTCAATTGCATTCATAGATTCTATATCAATATATTTTGATAAAATACAAAATCATGTTGAATTAACATGTCAATTTTCAACAGGTGATATACATGATTTATTACGTTTTATAATATTTATATCAGAAATAATTTATATAAATATATTTCAAAAAAAAAAGCATCATTTCTTAGTTATGAAACAGATCAAATAATATCATGTTGTACATTATCGAGAACACTATTATGAATATTTGAATATCTTTATCAACAACATGGTTTAACTATATCCAATATATTATAATCATATTTAAATTTAATTGAACCAGATAAAAGATCATCTTTGTTATTTAACAAAAAGAAAAATTAAATATACACGTATATATCATATATTTATTGACATGATTTACATTTTATAGCTATATTATTATTTTGTTTACCAATATTTATATAAAGACAATTTTGAAGTTGGTTGATTATTAAGAATACAATTTCAAGAAATATAGGCTTCATTTTTAGCTTCAATTAATTCACCACAAATCAATCTAATGATGAAAATAAACAAACAACAAATAATTTTTTTAAAAAAAGAAGAAACTTTAGAAACAAATGCAACACAATGGTAACAAGATTGAAAAATAAACTAGATTTTATCTGTTTTATTTTTTTATCGGTGATCAATATATGCAAACACGTTCAACATTAGATACAAATTCAAATAATTTATTTACAAATATTGAACGATTAGGTACACGTGATTTATTATTCTATGGACAACTTTCATATGATACTATATTAACATCAATCCAAAGTAATAATACATTACCATTATCAGTTAATGTAAGTCTCACATATGTTTTAATAATCGACAAATAGAACTCTAAGTTAAAAGAAAGATAAATTCATTGCTAAATTATTCATTTCAACAAACAGAAAATCTAGTGTTTCTCTGACTTTGATTTGATATATAATACATGCAAACTATCTTATTTCATAGAGATAAAAGCTTATATCAATAATTTCAAATATATTCTATCAATCAAAAAATTAGATTATGAACATTTTCTTTTCTGGCATCCATCTTTAAAAATATATAATTTAGAGTTTATTTGATTGCTTATTTTTTTCATCATGGTTTTGATTTAACATTATCATTACAAATTCTAATTGAAATATATGTAATATAAATTAATAGGTTCAATTATATATCTATCTGATTTATTTGTACATGGTTTGATGAAGATGATTTAATAATATCCTTAATAAGTTATAATTTATATAAATCTAGTATATTACTTGAACAAAGAACTAAAGAATATAATGAATTATATATAAATTTAATTGAACGTAATTATAAATTAATAACTAAAACTCATGCATATGCATCATGTTTATTCATGAAGTTGATTTAAATTCATATGATATTTGATTATCATTAATTAACGATGATAATTTAACACAAAAAGTTATATCAATTAGTCTTGAAAAACTTTCAATAGTTGGTCAATATCCCAAAAATGATATATGGTGTTAATACTTTCACGTATTTATACATTATTACAACGACCAAATAAAAATACAAATTCATTAAATAATGAACATGTTAATAAAGAACAAACAATAATTGATAGTTCATCAATAATATCATCATCAGATAATATTTTTATTGAACTTGTTGAAGAATTATATGCACATACAAAACAATCATCAACATTAGCATATGAAGCTTTACTTTTATTACGTCCTTTATCATTATTACTTGCACACATTAGTCTTTTTTTTCGTGGTTTAATTAATGCACGTTAATCAGCTAAAGTTAATGAATGGACTTTATTATCAATGACAAATATTGCACAAAGAAAATCACTATGTATGGCTATATGGGGATTAACTTGTCTTATGTTAAGTGCATATCTATCACAGGGTGTGGGTGTGGGTGAAGACAAGACCTATAATGATATCCACACCCACACCATCTTATGAGTAAAATTCTGCCTATGGTTAAATATTCTTCCTAGTTTTCTTTTTAAAAATTATCAAGACTTACACATACAATTAAAATTTATTTGGAAAAGATAAATAGTAAAACATTAATGAAAAACAAAAACTCTTTATTTCAATCCGAAGGAATGACGATCAATACAAAATCATATAAATTTCGTCATGAAATGTCAAAATGAATTTTCATTGATAATATAGTATATATTTTATTTTTTTTAGGTTTTTATTGATGTTATCACGTTTCAGTGTTCGTTTCGAAGAATCAGGCAATCGTTTATTTCTTATTGCTGATCGAAAATAGTCTCTGCAAATATCAATTATATCAACAAAAAAGTAAAATCTATTTTATTTATTTTAGTTAACGAATATTGAACATTGACGTTAATTTGAACAAGCATTCATAAATGAATCGAATCTAGAAAAATTATATGCTGATTTACTTGAACACATTCAAAATACGGTGTGGATGCAGATGTTGTTTGGATATGTTGATGAACCATATACTCTCTCTCCCTCTGTCATCCATGCCCGCATCCTCAATAAAGACTAAAAATATCAATTCATAAAATGGAAACATAGCAACAAAAATTAATTTATCTACTTTTTTTCTTTTAACTAGAATTGGTCTCTACTATAACAATCATATCTAAATTTTCTAAACCAATCAGAATAGATTGTCATTTATTTTGTGCTCTAATTTCTGTTTGGCTTATTGATTTATATTTCATATCGTATGTTTTATTATGATTTTAATTATTGATTTAACTAGTAAATAAGTCGATTACATGTATCCATTAAACATATTTTAGCCATTGAAGTTTTAACGAAAACTTTTCTAAACCATGTCGTTAGAGTTTAAGAGAAATTTGCACAAATCTGGATTAAAACTTGTATTTATAACTAGTACTTTTAATAATATCAAGAAGAATGTGAATATAGATGTTGATATTCTATTTAACCACATCTACAATCTTTGAATCGTTTTGGTTTAGTAGATTATATGTAAAAGCAGCTACCATACTTCATCCTATTGAACTATTTTCTGAAAATCCATTGAAAATGATAAATTCAAAAAATCTCGCACTACACAATTGTTTCTCTTTATTCAAATAACAATTCTTTTTTCTTGATTTATTATTCGTATTTTTTATTATTTTATTATCAATACAAAAAAAATTTCATAATAAAGAATAAAATTGAATATTTTAATGTAAAAAGCAATTCATCATGGACACTATTTAACGATAACTATCAGAAAAGGAATCAAACCAACTTCCACAGGTTCGAGTTCAGTTCGATGCTTGACAAGCGCGGTATTATCCTGTAAAATTATTTTAGATTGTAAATTTCTGAGAATTTTTTTAATGAAAAGCATAAGTTAAAGCTCAACGATACAATCATCAAAATGCATGATTTCAGAAAAAATAAATCATAAATAACGAAAATCCAATCATCACTAAAGAATATTCTTTAAGAAAATGATCGCACCATGTTCCTGTTACATTCTAAAGATACTAAAAGGCTTGTAAACACATTCTAGAATACTTCAAACATATTTAGATTTTATTTTAAATTTATTTCTGGATTTTTGGTAAATGTTTACAAAATGCAAATTGATCGCTTTGCAAAATATTTCATCGAACATCGTTTGATAATCACATATAACATCACAACTTTACAAAAATGATTATATCTTAGCTAATCATTTTTTTTCATATGCCTATCTATATTTATTCATTTTGTCAAAATTACTAATATATGTTTATGGAAGAAGTCGTTGTTTCAATGAATAGTATGATGTTGAATCCTGTTCTATTTTCATTACTGAAAATAGGAGAGACGATTAGCTTCAAAACTTTTTTTCTCACAATCTACTTTCGTGATATAAATTTTGTGTTCTAACTTATTTAACTTTGCTTCAAATATTTTTTTTGTTGTTGACACAGTAAACTTTGCATACATGTGACGATACAAAATAAAAATTTTTTTTCTCATAAAATTTAATTTAAACAGAAATATATACAATAAGGTGTGAGTTTTCGGTTCATCTACAAAGCCATACATTCTATTGTCTAGGAATTCGTTGTATTCTTCACTTTTTCTTCTGAAGAAGTGTTTCTTTTTTTTGATTTTGGGACAATTATCAATTTAATTTGCATTTTGTTTCAACAAGCAAGTCGTTGCAAATATTCTAGACTAAGAAAATATTTTTCCACAGTTACAGTTTGTTGTCTGTCTCTTCTGAATAGATCAATCAATCTCATCCACATTTTTCTAGCTAATAATTGTCATTGATATCTACTTTTAAGAATCATCAGAATCATAAACTCGATCATTCGATTTTATTGTAATATAAGATTACCTGATTTTCTCCAACATGACATTTCTTGAACTCTTGCAAAGACATTCTTTCTCAGGCATTCGCCATCGACGAAATTGAGAAACCCTAAGATATTATCAGTTAAAACTTCTAATCTTAAATAAATATAGTTCTCCTGAATAATTGAAAATTCAGATAAAATTAGAATTGACTTGTATCACAAATATTCACTCTGTTCTTTAATTCACTTTAAGAAAATCTTATATTTCTCGCCAAAAAAGCAATCTTTGTGTTTGGATATTTGGAATATAAATTTTTCAAAAGTTATTCAAAAGAAAAAGAGAACTTTGCAAGGTCACGATCTTTAAAATGATGATGCTGAAATCTTGCAGAAAGCTGGTAGAAGTAGTTAATAGTTATGTCATTGGTTGCTTTAAAAACTATGCATTGAAAACAAAAACAAAAAAACATGTCTGTTAACTCCTACTGAAGTATTCGCTAGTTAAAGAAACATTTGAATCATTAGCCTTAATAGTTATTTCCATATAATGTAGTATTTATACGCAAATTTTTTGATTGCGAGTTAATTTATCAATAAAAATCTTGAACAAACTGTTCAAATTCTTCTGAAAAGTCATGATTTCTATAAATTTACTTATGCGCTCATATAAGAAAAGTGTTTTTTCTTAACTATTATTTCCTCGTACATTGAGATAAGTCCAGTGAATGATAAAGTTAATTTAGTCAACTGTTGTCTTTTAAAGAAAACTTATGGTTCTACAGACTACTCATGTCTTTTTCTTTTCATATCGAATATAATTGTTGTTGCTCTTTTCAAGGAACTATTGCCTCTAGTCAATTACTTTTTGGTTAAAGAAAAGCATCAAATCTTGATAGCATTTGATATCAATATTTTCGAAGTAAATCATCAGTTAAGAAGAAAGCTAGAAGATTTACAAAACTTTCACTTTGATCTGATTATCTATAGATGACTGAATCAATTTGTTTGATCTGCCTCCTCTATTTCTTTTTTCATAGATCTTTTAAAGCTCTACAAAAGATATCTTTTTCTCTATTGCATTCATATTATCAATTTTGAGTGAATAATTTCATCTTATATTTTTGAGAAAAATTCTTTCTCATAACATCAGTATGTCTTTCACCTCTGCAAGTGTTTTATACGAGACTTATCATTTCAATGGAATAATATTCATTTATCTAGCATCTTCTATTGAATTTTAAAAAGAACACTAAGACAATTTTAATTAAAGCTGTAAAAAGCGTCGAAAAATATATCCAAGCAAGTAGGATATGAGACAACAAAATTTCAAAACAGGAAACTTTTCAAACATAAGATTGTCAATATGAATACCTATGGGAATATAAAGAATGTTACAAAATTAAAATCATAATCATCCAATATGATGAATATTATTCCATTAAAACGATAAATTTTGTATTAAATCTATTCAGATAAAAAAACACATAAAGCTGTTATGAAAAAAATTCTTCTCAATGCAATGTAAGATGAAATTAGTCATTCGGAGATTAGTACGATAGATTGATGCATTCTACAAAATTATATATTTCAATCAGTGAACAGTTTATAAATTCATTGTCTTCTTAGATTAACTTGTCATATATATTTATCTACATCAAAATGGTAATGAGACAAATGCTTGTAAGGTTTCTTACATCAAACTATCAACTGTAACTGAGAGTTTCTACACTGAAAAACCTGATTTTGGTGTGGGTGAGTTTGGATGAGGTCAGAAAGAAGAGATTCACCCACATCCCACAAAAAAGCTTATCAAACTCGTGAGAATGTGCGTAGGGCACATCTGCAATTCATTTTTCTTTGACTCCGTGTGGAAGATGCAAGAACAAAAATAAATGGTAATTAAATGACTTAGTATTTTAGTGACCATTGATATCTCGCATCTTATATGCATATACACGTTAATTATCGTTTTGTATAAATTAACTTTATTCATGAAAGAGTCTCGAAGATTTACTATATATACAAAATAAAAAGAACAATAATGTTCTAATAAAGGGATATGCCATTGATATTCGTTATCAATCAATGTC